CTCCGCCTCGTCAGCCTCGAGGTCTCCGTACCGAAGCCCTGCCACGCTCAGCTCGAGGGCTGCCAGGCTGCCCCTGCCTCCAAAAACGCGGCGGGGGAGAGGGGGGGGGGGTGCTCGCTGCTACCAGGAGGGAAGATGAGGGGTAACGTCAGGGGAAGACCAGCTCAGGGGGAGAAACCTCGAACTGGAATCGGCGATACATCGCCCGTGGATCGGCGATGGGCCCCCGACAGCGACACCGCACACTGGGCGGGGTGGCTATCAGGCCCCTATCAGCGATGAGTGGGATGTGAAGGGGTCGACGCACCCCTCCCTGAGCCTACACCACGCGAAATGGTTAAGAAATCATGGGTTAAGAAATTCATGGTCTCAGAACTTGAATAAAAACCCAACATTTCTATCAAACTCTTAGGATTTACATTGAAACGTTAAGAATAATCGAGACTCTGGCCGAAAACTTAGGTTTTCTTAAGCATCGCCTAAGGTGTATGTTCCCTTGATGTTGCCCCTGAAGAGGGGGCGGGGCAAGAGTGGATAGCATGGGGTGGCGCCAGCGTCCGAGCCACGATCGTGCGTGCAGCCGTTCGCAAGGCGGGCGTGGGCAGCCCCAGGTCGCCCTGCTGTTCAGGAACCTTCCGGGGTAACTGCTCCGCGAGCTGCTGATACAACTTCAAGAGATGAGGCTTGCTGGGTGCCTTCCTGGGTAGCTGCTCTGCGAGCTGACCCTGCGATTTTGGCTTTGTTGTTTTTCGACCCCCGGACAATTACGGATCGATCCGGCTCGAAAGATGCAGGTGGGTTCCAGAGTTCTGGCTGATCTTGTGCGTGGTAAACAGATGTAGCAATTTTTTGTGACGTCGGATCTCAAGGAAGAGGCGCTACCGCGGCGTACGCCTCCCCTGGGCGCCAAAACGCGCCACCTCCCACAAGGCCGCCGCCGTCCTCAAAGGCTCTCCGTCATGGTCCATGCGGGTCCCAACACGGCCCAGGAGCGCTCCACGACGGTCAGGATGGCTTCGAGAAGGAAGCTCCGCCCAGTAGAGGTGCGGATCGAAAGGGAAGGGGCACGGAGAGCGGCAGCCACGCGCGAACCCGACCCCTTCTGCCGACCCGGGCTGACCGGCGGGGCTCGCCAGCGCGGGAGGCTCAGATCCCGCGAGCGGGCACGAGCGAACGGTGACCCCCCGTCGGTGCAAATCGATGGGTCGATGGGCACTCAGGAGGGACGAGGGAGGAAGGAGGAACGAAAGTTGTCGCTCCTCCTCCTCCTCCTCCTCCTCCTTTTCCTCCTCCTCCTCCTCCTCCTCCTCCTGCTCCTCCTCCCAAGGGAACGAACGAACGACGCGCTCCATCGGCCCCGGAGGCCGTCCCAAGACGGGTGGCGCGTTGGCGCCTCAGCGCTTGCAGTATTGGTGCGCGACGGTGTTTTCCAGCCAGTGTTTACGCCGCCCCCCATGTCACCAGGCGCGGTTCTCTGGTTCCCAAGGGACAACCATATGTGCACACGACTCGATGTCAAAACTTCTGCGGCCAAGCCAGCGAAGTGCCGCTGACCAGTATTTTTCAACCCCGTCACGTAGAATCAGGCGCGAAACGCGCTGTTCGACATCACGAACTGAATGTTCATCCAGTCGACACATAGCTCCATTTCCGCGTCGCGATCGTGTGAAGTATCTATCGCAGGCAACGAAGGTGACGAATACATTGGCGATGTAAGAATAAACGGTTTGCGCCCTCTGCGCCTGAACGTGCGCGCCCTTTGCGCCCTCTGCGCCTGAACGTGCGCCTCCGCGTGGCCGGAGAGTACAATCAAACAGCGGTAGACGTGAATTGAATGAACAGGGCCTGTCAGTGAAATCTGCACGATGTTGCATGGAACGCATCGACGAATTCCGAATGCAATGTTTGATCCCCGCAGCATGGGACCAACTGAAACCCACCATTCTGCCAAGATGCTTCGCGCTGCCGTTCTACGGAAGAATCGCAATGCCCATGCCGCTAACCAAGACCTTCGGTCCCTTCGGTCTGCCAGTGCCCGCGTTTGCGTTGCTCAGGGAGCGTGCAAGGGCCCGTCTGAGACAAATTGCTGCGCTGGCATTGGGCCGTTTGGGTTACCCCGCTGTCCAGTACGAATCAACACGGTCGCCGCAGGATGGAAGGGGGGCCGCTCCATCTGCAGTGCCGGGCCGCTGGTAGGGTGCAGCTGACAGCTGCAGCAAGGTGGGGGTTGTTCTGGTAGTGTGCAGCCGACAGCTGTAGAAAGATGAATAGGTTTCGTCTGAGACATTGCTGCGCTGACATCGGGCCCAGCCACCGCGCAGGTCCATTGCAATCCCAGCGCCAGCCGCAGGGTGGAAGGGGGTCACTCCACCTGCGGAACCGATTCGCTGGTAGGGTGCAGCTGACAGCCGTGGCAAGATGGGACATGTCCTGGTAAGGTGCGGTACAATGCCGAAGAAGGGCTGGGTAGGGTACGCCAGGCAGCTGCTGCGCTGGCATTGGGCACAGCCAACGCGTTGCTTCGTTCGGATAAAACCGGCAATTGCAGGGGTCACTCCGCCTGCGCTGTGCCGTGTCTCTGGTAGGGTGCAGCTGACCGCCGACACGGAAGGGAGATGCCCTGGTAGGGTGTAGCTGACAGCCTGAGACATTATTGCTGCGCTGGCATGAGGCACAGCCACAGCACAGGTCAATTAGGATCCACTATCGGCCGACGTCCAGAGTGGGGTGGCTCCGCACGCAGTGTGCCGAACCTCGAATGAGGTACAGCAGGCAGACAGGGAGGCAGCCAGGGGGCATCTGTGGGCTGCCCAGGACGCAGGACGGGGAGGGTGAGGATCACCTCTCCGTATTAGCCGGCCGATGCGAGTTGACTACCTCTTTCGCAGGGGTGCGCCTACCGCCGTAGTCCACGCGCAGGCTCTCGAACTGTGAAGCAATGTTCACGGAACTACCACCTTACCTGATAGTAAAGCCTTCTGCGGAAGCTTGACTGTGCCTGCGACCAGGCCTGGAACTTCAATGAGAGAGCACTTACTCTGTTGTACTGCAGCGTCGATGCGTGTGCAAGGGGTACTGGCTCGTCCCACGCAAGAAAGAGCTTCCGGCGCTCTGCCGCCTCCTGGTTAGCCTTCTTGATCACAATCCTGCCTTTTCATCCTGTGCCGCGTAGGCGCTTCGGATATGGAAAGAAGCCCACCTGCTGAGCCGCGGCAGCTCGACGTAAATGGGGGCAGGCACAGGAGGAAGCGATGGGGGGGACAGAGGCAACGCCAGGGGCAGGAGGAGGGTGCGGAGGCTCGTCGATAGCCAGGAGCGACGGGGCCTTGTGGGCTGGTTCGGCGCAGCTAACAGCTGCCGGGGCGGGGCAGCTAGAAGCTGCCAAGTGTTGCCGTAATGGCGCTGGCAATACAGAGGGCCGCAAGGGGCTTGATCCCTGGGCGCCCAAGGCGGGCCAGGGAGCCAGCAGCCATCCAGATGCGCCGCAAGAGATGGCCCCAGGGGGGGGCCTAGAGTTTGGGGCGGGCCCTGTTGAGCCCCAGCCGGGCACGTCCGAGGCGGTATTGGTACGACCGTGGAGGTCGTGCGATGGTAGGCCGCCCCCCGCCAGGTGGTCGAGGCCCTCCCAATCGTATCGGTGTCGAGTGGCGGTTGGGCCTAGAGGCATGCTCCACCAGGAGGGCCTGCCGAGTCCTCGGGGGGGCAGGCCGTCCTGCTGCGTTGGACATCGCCCCTCCCCCGCCCCCCCCCCCCCCCGCGACCCTTTGCCCTTGCCTTTGTTGGGGGGCGTCGGCGCGCGCTGCCTCAGTGCGCACCCTGTTCCACCAAATCCCGAGTCTGAGTGCTTCATTCATTGCAAAGGCGTTGTGTTCGAAACGCGCCCACTCACGTAGGAACCGGGAGCGCGAACCGGGCTGCTGAAATGAGGGGTCGGCGCAGACCCTGACAGGGTTCGGGTAGTATACGGTCGTCCACCGGTGCCAGAGGGCGTTAAAGTAAGGGCCCAAGTTCTTCTGTAGTCGCTTCACGGTCTCTGCGGGGGCTTCCCCGACATGTGGCTGGAGGGAGACCCGGTCGAAGGGGGTTTGGTAGATGTACTGGCGGGTCAAGGGGTCGCAGAGGTCGTGCCCGACATCCTGGTTGTGCCTGGGATGACGGCGCTCAGAATGGTCCTCGCCTTGCGTAGCTGAAACGGGGGGCCAGGGTACCTCCTCCGAGTCCCGCGCCTGGTGAAGCCTGCTCCAGCGCTCGTTACTTTCCCAGTTATCCCGTCCAGTCCAGTGCGCCCAGCGGTTGCCGTGCGGGCTACTGCGGCCACTCTCACCGTGCCAAAGTGGGCGGCGCTCGCGCCAGTCGCCATTCCAGTCCTGTCTGTTCCACGTACCAGTGGACGGGCGGGCCCTGGGTATGCTAGGGGGACAAGGAGCGCTCTGCCCCTGCGGACGCGCGAGGTCCCTGTCGTCAGCGACGGAAGTGGGGTACAATTGGGGACCGGCTGGGGAGGTTGGGGTGTAGGTCCCGCCTTCCTGCACGGGGCTGGCCGAGGGGTGTTCGATCTCAGCAGGCTCGGGTTCGGTGATGGGAAGAGCTCGACTTGGGCGCCTTTGCGGCCTTTAGGCGCCATGGGGGTTGGGCACGGGTGAGCAGTGTCGGTTACCCCGAGCCCGTCCCCGTGGCGAGTGAGGGTCCCATCGCCCCTCGCCGTGGGAGGGCCTTCCCCACGAGCCGCTGCTTGGGTCGGAGGCTTGTGCCTCGGGCTGGCTTCTTGAGAGGGCTCCCGAGGACGGGAAAGCCCGGCGGAGGCAGGGCGGGGGCTAGTGGGACTGCGTAGAGAAAGGGTGGGGGAAGGGCGCGCGGCCTCGTCCCAGTCTGGGCCAGGTGCGGGGGACCGGCGGTGCTGAAATCCTTCCGGGAGGTTGGCGGCATCGTGGGGAAGACCCACGGCGCGGTCCCGAACCTCACTCTTGTCAAGCTTGCCGCAGGAGGCGATGTGGAACTGTTTGCACATCTTCTGAAGTTCTTGCATGGGGATCTCCGTGGTGAGATGTATCAGGGTGCCAGGTGCAAGTTTGTCCGGGCTGATCTGCGCCAGGAATCCGGCCAGTGTCTCAACAGTGTGCAGCAGGGGGGACGGCCCGCGCGGTATTGGAAGGGAGAAGCCACCTGTCCATTTCACGGGTGTCCTTAGAGGCGCACAGAGTTTGACGACCGCCCGTGCGGCAGATAGCCGTTTCCCCTGCCAGTGGAAGTCCTTGGTGAGGTACGTAGACGGGACCCGTGTACCATAGATTCGCGTCAGGACCGTAGCTGGGGTTGTGTCCGGTTCCCTGGGTCATCCGGGTGCAATACTTCTTTGCCGTCGGTGGTTACGGATGCAGGTCCAGCGTATGCTCGATTATGCAAACCTCGATGGGCCTTGTGCCGGACCGGTCGGCATCCTCCTCCTCCTCGGCTTCCAGCGAGCAGATGATGGAGACCTTCAAAACAGGCCAGCGCGGTGTGTAACTGGTGGGGATACTTTTTAGTCAGCGGCCGCGGGCGAGCGCGCCGGCGGCGAGTCCAGTCAAAGCGGGGCACGCAGCGACGAATTAACCTAAGGCGACGGAGGGAGGCTACACCTACAGCGGCAAACCGAGCCCTCACGCAGCAGCCCAGCGGCGGACCAGCGGGTGGAGGGACAGCTGAAACGGGGTCGAACTGACTGGTGAAGATGCACGAAGCGTCTAGAATGAAGCTTCGCGAGGCAGTCTCAAGCGAAACGCCTGGCCCGCCCTTTCGACCAGCCCCGGGGCGCGACAGGGAGCATTTCTTGAATCACGAAGGGCGATAAAGGATAAGGATGGAAGGAAGGACTGAACAAAGGAAGGAAGGAAGAATGGCAAAATAACAGGAACAATGTTAAGGAAAACGTGGACACATGAGGGAGATATCCCGGAGGATCGATCAACCAGGATCGAACAGCGGAGGGTGGAGGAAGAGCGAAGGGGATACATCCTGAATCCTCGGAAATCGAACGCCGAGAAGGAGGGAGACCCCCGAAGCCATACCTCGGGCGTCTGTTGGCCATCCGGGGCGATTCGAACACCCCGGGGATGCTCTGCGCATCTGCTGGAGGAAAGCACCCCGAGGCGAGAAAACCTGCAAAAACACACGCAGGCTTTGGAGCTTGCACCACGTAGAAGTGAAAACAAACACACACACACACATTCACATTCACATTCACATTCACATTCACATTCACATTCACATTCACATTCACATTCACACACACAAACGAATCCAGTGGGAAAAAATAGGGCGGCCGGCCGCGCCTCCGAGGCGGGTCAAGTAATCGCCGAGCTCCTCCTCGTGGCCAGCCTTCTGCCCCCGCCCCCCCCCCCGTCGGCGGCGGCGAGAGCGCGGGCGGGGAAAAGGAGGAGGAGGAGGAGGAGGATGAAAAGGAGGAGGAGGAGGAGGAGGAGTAGCAGCAGCAGGAAACAGGGGAGGAGAGGGAGAGGGGAGGAGAAAGGCGGACGAGGGAGGAAGAAGAGGTGGGGGGGGGAGGAGGAAGACAGGGAGCATGGGGGGAGATGCCGCTACAGGTGCAAGTGACAAGCGCGAGGAGTCATGCCACAATCTTCCCAGGAACTCTTCTTCGGCAAACCACATCAAGGCAACTCCATTGATACATGTTTTTCAGATCCCGCTGGATTGTTTCAAGTTTGTTGTTGTAAACAGGCCTGGCCGTCTGCTAGGGCAGGCGCTGCAATAGTGGCACTCGGGGCTTTGTGTGGTGAGGTCCTCCAAGCTCACGAACACGCTCTCGAACAGCTGTCAACCTGAACTTGTCGAACAGCCTGGTCGTCAGGATTCGCGCCCGCTTAGAAAATGCATGAGCTAGAAGAGGACTACGAATTCGGATCGACACAGAAAACGCACCGCTCGTTCGACCCTCCAAGTTTCCGCAACCGAACGGTGTCGGCGGGCGGCGCGCGGAATCTTGGCGCGTTTCTGCTGATGCACGCTGCTGGCAGAACGGCAGAAATCCGCTCGATCGACAACGATAGAAAGGCTGCAGAATCGTCCGTCAAGGCAAGCGAACTGGTGTCAGTGGTGCCCGTCCGAAACCCAAGCTGAAGCACCCGTAGCGTGGACAGCCATGCTGCGGCCAGAAATACGAGTTTGGGAACTGAGCGCAACGAGCCGGGCAGCTTCGTTCACCTGTCGGCACGTGCAGGCGCTCATCACTTAAGCGTCGGTGTTGGCAGGGGAGAGGACGCTTGTTCTGGGAATCGCGCCTGGGGGAACAACCGTCAGAGCCTCCAGCATGGCTGTTGAGAGAGTCTCGGCATCTCCGCCGACAAAATATACGTGGAAATCGAAACGGGCCCGCGGGGCATCCCCAACGCGCCAGCAGACCTGAGGAACGCCATCAGGCCCACGCAAGTGGTGCTCGTTCTTCTTAGGTATGTCACCGCAAGAGTTCGCAGAGTCCACGCTCCCAAGACGCATTCGCTCCCAGGGCACTATGGGGCACCCGGCGGACACAAGACGGCAGCTCAGGCCAGTGCGCGCGGACTTCCAGCCTTTCGCAGAAGACCCCCAACTCCACCCCAGCGAAGACTCCTTGACAAACTCTTCGGGGGCGACCCATGGGTTACTGATTCCACCAGCCACTCCTTGAAGCCGCGAACGGCGTCGGAACTGCTGCCAGCAACTGCGCCGAGTTTCTCTCCTAAGCCAATGGGAATCGTGAGGTGGGTCGGTGGGTGGGTGGGTGGGTGGGCAGGTGGGTTGGTGGGTAGGGGGTGGGCGGGAGGGTGGGGTGGAGGGGCGGGGGGTGCGTCAAGTTAGTCAGCTCGAACGAGCCAGAGGGCTCCGTCCACTCCCACCCGCCCTCCTGCAACATAAGAAGCAAGTGCGTCTCGTCCGACACCTGCCGTTCATCTTATATCGCGGGCGGCTAGACATTCAGCGCGCGACATGAGCTGCGTCCTATTCCTGCCGCGTGTTGAGCAACGTCGACGAGAAACGAGACCGCGCGCGATGTACGCCGCGCCCAGCTCTGGCCTCTCATGTTGCTTCGTCGGCGACAACATGTCCAGCGCGCGAAGTGCGGCGAACCGCACTTGCTTGAGGCATTCTGATTTGCCGCCCGCCCAGCTCCTCAACCCGACGGGCCGCAGCGTCGACGACAAGAAAGTCCATGCTTACGAGTAGGCGTCCCCGCGCGATGTGCGCCGCGTCCCATTCCCTCTACGCGATTCGCAGCGCCGACGAGGAGAAAGTACATGTTGGCAAGAAACGTCGACGTTGCAGTGTTTGTTGACAAGTAGGACGGGGGGTCCCGCGTGGGCTTGGCCAGACGTCCGCGCGCGATGTGCGCCGCGTCCCATTCCTGCTTTACTTTACCCCGCCTGCTCCCTGAGGGCCCAGTCCCCAGTCTTGCATACTCTTAACAAGCCCCAGCCCCGAAAATTCTCAGATCTGCCGGGGCTTCCCGCGTGCCCGTTGGGCTCCGGCGCTCCTCCCCGGGCTCTCGGGGCCCAAGAGAGCCCCAAGACGGGCCAAGAGGGCCCCAAACAGCCTCCAAGAGCACAGGCTCCCAACTTCGCGCTTCGCGCTGCGCGAAGTGCGAATAACTTCGCGCTCTTGCGCCGCCTCCCAGGGGAGAAGAGGAGGATGAAGAGGAATCGGAGCCGAACCGCGAAGCGCGAATAACTTTGCGCCCTCGAGGGCGTCCTTGAAGACGGCCTGGGAAAGCCCCGAGACGCCCAAAGATCGGCCAAAGACGCCCAAGATGGCCCCCCAGATGTCTTCAAGATGAGCCGACTGGCCTCAAAGAGGCCTCCCACGAGGGCCCCAAGAGAAAAACATCAGAGATTGTCCTAACAAGTGGTTGGGCAAACTTCGGCGTGCTCGCCCTTTCGGCTTTCCGCCGCTCCAAGACAGCCCAAGAGGCACCCAAAATCGCCAAGGCGGCCCAAAAGGCCGCCAAGACGGCCCAAGAGGGCCCCAAGACCGCCCAAGAGGCGGCCAAAACGGACCAAGAGGGCCCCAATACGGTCCCAAGAGGAGTCCAAGAGTGGGACCAAGAACCGAAAATTCGAGCTCTGCGCCCTGAAAGGACCCCAGGAGGCCCCAAGAGGGCCCCAAGAGGCCCAAACAGGCTCCCAAGAGGCCCCCAAAATGCCCAAGAAGCCCTGAAGAGGCCCACAAGGAGGCCCTATGAGGCCCCAGACCTGCTCCCAGAGGCTCCAAAACTGCGTCCAAGATGCCCCGGAGAGGCCCACCACGTGGTTCTTGGTCGGCGCCGCCTGACGCACCAAGGCGATGTGTCTCAAGCGGTACTTGTCTGGTGTCACGTGAAGCATGCGCACTGCATGCCTCAACTGGTACTTCGTCGGCATCACTTGGGACATTTGGGCCACATGAAGTCTCCTCACGAGATCCCAACGAACACCCAAGCGGCCTAATGCCCACAAGCCCAGACGCGGTGGCGGGATGGGCCGAAGGCCATTCGATCCGCCGCCCCCTGTCGACTCATCGCAGGGGTGCCTGGCGTGCTGAATCCTTTCGGTTTTGGTTTTGGCTTCTTTTTCCAAAAGAACTCCGCCTGGCGCTTCGGCCCGTTCCGCCGGCCCTGCGGAAAGCCTGCAAACGACCTCAACGTCCACAAAAAATCCTCCAAGACGCCTCAAGATGGCCTCCAAGATGCTCACGTTGGCCCAAGATGGCCTCCACGATGGTCCAAGATGGCCTCCAAGTCCGCCCAAGATGATCCAAGACGGCCTCCCATACGGCCCAAGAGAGTCCAAGACGGCCGAAGGCGGCCCAAGAGGCCCCCCAGAGGCCTCCAAGACGGCCCAAGAGGCCTCCAAGAGGTCCTCCAGGAGAGCCCGAAGAAGCCAAAATCATTGATTTTCCATTGGTTTTTCAAGGATTTCCGATTTCGCTGCTTCTCGGCTTTCCGACGACCCAAGACGGCCCACGAGGCCCCCAAAATCGCCCCCACAGCGCCCAAGAGGCCTCCAAGATGGCCCCAGAACGGCCCAAGAGGCCCCCAAGACGGCCTAAGAGGGCACAAAGACGACCCAAGAGGCCTCCAAGACGCCCAAGATGGCCTCTAAGACTGCCCTGGAGCACCCCAAAAGGGCCCCAAGTCGGCCCAGAAAGGTCCCCCAAACGGCTCACGACGGCGTCAGACGGGCCAGGAGCCCACCAAGATGGCCGAAATTAGCTCGCAGCTGGCCCACGACTGCCCAAGAGGCCTCCCAGAGGGCCTCCAGGAAGGCCAGAAAAGGCCCAAAACACTGATTTCCCTGGGTGTTAGAAGGATTTTGATATTTGCTTCGTTTCGGCCTTCCGACGGCCCGATACGGCCCAAGAGCCCCCAAAGATCGCCCAAGGATCGGCCAAGAGGCCTCCAAAATGGCCCCAGAACGGCCGAAGACGCCCCCAAGAAGGCCCTGAGAGGACGGCTCTGGAGCATTCCAAGAGGGCCCCAAGTCGGCTCAGAGGGGCCCCCCAAACGGCTTCCGACGGCGTCGGACGGGCCAGGGGCCCACCAAGACGGCCGAAGATGGCACGAAGTTGGCCCAAGACGGCCCAAGAGGCCTCCAAGAGGGCCTCCACGAAGGCCCGAAAAGGCCCAAATCATTGATTTCCGATCCGACGGCCCGAGACGGCCCCAGTGCCACCAAGGATCGCCCAAGAGGCCCAAGACGGCCCCAAGAGGCCCACAAGACGGCCGAAGAGGCCTCCAACACGCTCAAGATGGCCTCCAAGACGGCCCAAGAGCCCTCCAAGACGTCCTCCAAGAAGGCCCGAAAGGGTCAAAATGGCCTCCAAGCGGCCAAGATGACCTTCAAGATGCCCACGTGTTCCCCGAATGCTTTCCAAACCGATTCGGGGAAGACATGGTCCGATAGCTTGGCAAGTCGGGCCTCAACGTTCGGCCACATAAGCGCTTCCACAAAGGCAGGGGGCGGCGGTGATTCGCCGTAGGCGTCTTCGATGCAGCGAGCGGGCGGCCCGACAACTCCTGGGCCCGGGGGAAGGAGGGGCGAGGAGGGAAAAGGCGGGGGAACAGGGGGCCACGGGGTGCGGGAGTGGAGAGGAAAGGGCAGGGGATGGGAGGGGCGAGAGGGTGCTTGCCTTCCGCACACCAGTGGCTAAATGCCCACCGCCCTTCCTTCTCACGTTGCCCCCGCCCCCCCCCCCCCCGACGGCCTCATCCTTTGGCGGCTTTCTCACGCCCGAGGTTATATCTCTCCTGCTCTCTTCTGTCTCTCACTCCCTCTAGCCCTTTTCCCCCCGCTCGTATCTCCCCTTCCCTCTGCCTGCTCTTTCCTCCCCTCCCTCCCTCCCGTAGACTC